AACATATCATGCCGTCGTGTGCGAACACGTTCCTGACCCCGCCGTTGGCCGTGTTGCTGTGTCTGATGCCTGCTAACTCGGGCGCCCGCGCCGGCTGCCCTGCCACCATGTGCATCAACATCCACAACCGCTCCCGGAACGATTCCAACGCCTGTCTGTATGCCTGCACCGTCCTCTCGCGGTATGGGTGGTGGCTATCGCTGCGGTTGGACGTGACCTCCTCCGCCTGTCCTGCTGCTGCTGCTGCTGCTGCTGCCACTGCCGCCGCCGCCGCCCCTCGCGTTGGGTCTAACCACGCCCGCCGCCGTGCCTCCGACTCTGCGATGCGCCGTGCGATCCACCCCTTCCCCTTGCCCACCCACGCCTCGTTGCGGTCGTCGTGTAAAAACGAATACCCCGGCCGGTCCTGGCTGTGGTCGTCGTGCATGCTGTCCCACCTGATGGCGGGCAACGCTGCTGCTAACGCTGATCGGCCTCCGTACCCATCGCCGTGCCCGTCCCTGTCGGGATCATTATCCCTATCCCCATCCCCGTCCACCACCGCCAACTGCGCCAACAACGTCCGCGCCTCCTGCGCTACCCCGTGGAACATCTCGGCCAACTCGCACACCCGCACCCGCACCCGCCGGAACGATATCCGGTCGCCGCTCCAATCCACCATCCCCGGCGCCACCGTGTTAAACCGGATATGCATCCCGTACGTGCGCGCGTCGTAAATCCAATTCATCGCCCTGGGCTCGTCGTCCGGCCGCCCGGGCATCCGCGTCATGAACCGCCGCACCTTGTCGCGCACCAAATGGAACACGCTGCTGGCCTCTTCGTACGCCGCCTCGGCCCCTTTGGTCGCCGTCAACGCCACCACCTCGTCCTTCCGCTCCAACCACGCCTGGTACACGACGAACATCTTGGCCACCTTGATCACGGCTGAATAATTCGTCGTGTACTCCGTCGCCTGGTGCCACCCGCCGTCCTCGCGGATGCCCAACACCGCCAACGCGCCGATCATCGCGCTCTCCTTTTGGCTCTGCTTGTACGGGTCCTCGATGATGGCGATGATGGCGTCCAAACACATCCTCTCGACCTCCTCCGCCTGCGCGGCCTGCCTGCTGCCGACATCCGCCTCGACACGGCTGGTGAACGCATCCCACAACGACCCCTGACGCATGGTGAACCGATACGGCGGCCGCTCGCGCTCCGGCCACTCGTCCATGCGGAACCATATGCTCACCATCTTACGCCAAACCTCCTTGTACCGCTGCCACGTGTCGTCCTCCATGCGGTTGTCGAATGGCCGCACCGGCTTCTGGCCGATCTCCTTCCGCTCCGCCTCGAACAACACGTCGTGCCCGACCTTGTGCGGTGCTGCTGTTGCGCATGCCTTGTCGGCGACGCTGTTGAACACGGCCCATATGGCCTCTAACGTCTCCTCGCCATCCTCAATTGGTCGCGTGGCCTCCTGTAACTGCGTCTTGTTCAACCCTTCCAAATCCCTCGTCCACCCGACGCGGTACAACCACCCGTTCGGCTCCAACTTTTCGTCCACTGTACTGACCTCCTCGCGCGCGTCGGCCTCGAACCGCTTCTCTTGGTTCTCGTGCAACGTGACGAACCACGCCGTGTCGTCCGTCCCCGGCCCCGATGGCTCGCTTTGAACGGCCACCCCTAACCCCCGCCCGACCTCGAACCATCCGCTTGCGGCCCGTGTTAAAAAAAAACGCTGGCATGGCACGCCTGTTGTCCACGGCAAATCTCTGACTGCCGTGGCTTTCTTGCGCACATTGCCCCCCTTCTGCCAATCATTCGCCCACCGGTGTTCTGCCCGGCAATGCTCCTGCATGTTTCGCACGCGGCGGCACACATAACGGCATGCGTGGCAACGCAAACCGTCCGCCCGGGGCGGTGCGATATGGGCAACTGGCTCGACCGTGGGGTCTGGGTATTGAAACGACTGCAAATCGGCCTGGCTGCGGATGATGCCGGGAATATCGCCGACTAATCCGGCGACCTTGCTCCTGGCCTCGGCGGGGATTGACCGATGGTTATTCCGCAAATGCGCCGTGGCTTCGTTGGCTAATACGGCGTACTGACATAATGTGCATATCAAAATGGAATACTGCGTGTTGTGGACGAATGGCTCCATCTTTGGCATGTATTGGTTACTTTCTTCTATCTACTGTTTATGACTGGTTCCTCCTGTCCTCTCTTTATAAACTCACCTTCCTGCCCCTTAATTCCATATACTTTCTCCTTGATCTACTTTCCTCCCTGCCTACGTTCCATCGCTCGGTCGGGCTTTCTGGCCTGGCTGATGGTCCTGTTATATAATTGGCTGGTTAATGCGGGGATTCGGACGACATCACAAAAACATCTACTACCCTATTCACCTATTTCTGGACTCATATCACGGAATAAAACACTGAGAACTGGGTTCCTATAATTATACCGATTGTGGCTTTAATTGCATGCTACTTTTACCTATTTTACTACGGAAAATCTCAACGGCTTCCACCTTGCTGTGAACAACGGTTTCCGCCCTTGTCTCAACGGACCCACCTAATTCCATGGTGGGGCGTTCAATGGCTTCCGACGTCAGCCATCGTGGACGTGATGTTAGATGTGCTGTGACTTCGTTCGCTACTACTGCATACTGACATGATGTGCATATCAGAATGGAATACTGCGCGTTGTGGACGAATGGCTCCATGTTTACCTATACGGATGGCTTGCTTTGGTCTACTACTATTAAATGATTCCTCCTGTCCTCTCTTTATAACCTTACCTTCCTGCCCCTTAATTCCGTATACTTTCTCCTTGATCTACTTTCCTCCCTGACTGCGTTCCATCAGTCGGTCGGGCTTTCTGGCCTGGCTGATATCCCTGTTATGTGATTGGCTAGTTAATGTGGGGTTTGGGACCGCATCACGAAAACATCAACTACGCTATTCATCGATTTCTAGACTCACCTTGCTGATTATCGAACTGAGAACTAGATGGTTATAATTGCCTTCATTCAAGCTTTCATTGCATCCTACTTTTGTGTATTTTACTGCGGGAAATCTCAACGGCTTCTTCACTACTGGAAAACAACGGCTTCTACCCCCTGTCTGCACGGACCCACTTATTTTTTGGTGAGGATTTCAACGGCTTCTACTTGAAGCCATCGTGGACGTGATGTTAGAACTGGGTTCCTATAATTATACCGATTGTGGCTTTAATTGCATGCTACTTTTACCTATTTTACTACGGAAAATCTCAACGGCTTCCACCTTGCTGTGAACAACGGTTTCCGCCCTTGTCTCAACGGACCCACCTAATTCCATGGTGGGGCGTTCAATGGCTTCCGACGTCAGCCATCGTGGACGTGATGTTAGTTTAGTTTTAAAAAATACCTATATTTTAAGATAGAATATTTTTATAGTTAATAAAAAAACTTATTACTATTACTTATACTATAATATATAGTTAAGTATAAAATATTACTTAATATAAGAATTAATAAGATTTATATATAAAAGTTTTAAAACTAATTAATCTCTATAGTTTAAAATATAATAAGCTTTTTTAATACTTATTTAGTTCTCTATATTTTAATATTTTTATTAATATTAGATTTATTAATAAATACTAATTAGTTAGAGTAATATTATTATATATAGTATAAATATTTATATTATAATTTATTATTTTACTAAGTAATAATAGTTTTAAACTTTTTATTTATTTAGCTAGTTAAGTTTAACTATTAACTAATTATAAAATAACTAATTTAGATCTTAAAAGTTTTAAATAGGAAATCTTATATTTTTTAAGAAATAAATTATTATAATATTATAATAGTTTAAAAACCTTTATATAATATTATATTTCTATCTTTTATTAACTTTAGTAATATCTTTTATATCTCTATATTTTATTAGTAATATTATATTATAATCTATATTATTAAATTATTTATTTAATATAACTAATAATATTTATTAGTTTATAGGTTTTTTAGTTTTTAAATAATAATATTATTATAATTATTAATAGCTATAGATTTAATATTTTAAATACTATTATATTATTATTATTATTTAGTATTTTTCTTAATATATCTAATATAATAAATTATAAATATATACTAATTAATAATAAATTATAAATAATAAAGTATAATCTATATAATAGTAAACTTTTATTTAATATTATAAATAAGCTAAACTATTAAGAGAATTATTAATTTTATTAATTACTAAAATATTTACTTTAAAGAACTATATTAAATTTCTTAATATATTTATATATTACTTAAAGCTATATAAACTATATACTAAGTAAATATATAAAGTTATATAATAAGGTGTTTTTTTAATAAATATTATTTTAATTTTTTATAATAAAAATAAACTTTTTATTAGTTAAATAGTATAAAAATAAAATAACTAATTAAGTTAGTAATATTTTAATAAATAGATTAATTACTATAGAAGTATAAAATATATACTTTATATCTCTATTATATAGTTATATATTTAAATACTACTAAGATTATAGTAATTAATAGTAATTAAAGTATTAATAATAACTTTAATACGTTTTATATATAATATAGAGAAATATATATTATAGCGTAAAATTAGCTTTTTTTTATGTTTTTATATAAGCGGGGAAAAAAAAGGGGGGCGGACGCTGTTAACGCAATAGAGTGTAGTCAGTTATACTAGAAAAGGGAAAAAGTCGCCGTTAGAGTTTGCGATTCGTATGCAATGTCTGATACCCCTGAGCACGATTGAATCGCTGTTTTCTTTCCGAGTTGTCTTAACTAGGCAGCGTTCAGTTGTACCGCCGAGATGCTCGTACGGACGATCTTATAATTCATCATCTTTAAATGTTGCCATAGTCTCCTCTCGTGGTCTGACAATTGGGCATAGTACCACCCTACCGACGCCAAACGGCCGCTTGCTTTCTTTGCACAGACAGTCCAGACATAGACGGAGAAATACAAAGCCATAGAAAGCATGTCTCTTCCGCAGCTCGACCCGGACGTCTTGGACGAACTGGCGGAGGCACGCTTGTTCCATACCGAGGCTATCGAGGACGTCTGCGAGTGCACGGCGCTTCAGATGGGTACTATGACCGAGTCCATGATGCATCCTAATCGGTATAAGCACACCGCAGTCTTCTCTATCTCTCCTTCTGCCGACCGGAAGCGCTTGGCGTTCGCATTGGCAAAGCTGGTATCTCTGACCCCGATTTTGCGTTCCCGCATTGTCGACAGCAGCCGTCGTGGCCTTGTCCGCGTCGTCCTGCGAGAAGAGCACCAGATAAAATATTTCTCGCAGCCGCTTGATGAGTTCCTTGAGGATGAAAAGAACCATACGATGGGACTCGGGACACCTCTGCTGCGCAGTGCCTTTGTGGATGGCAAACTCGTTCTCACAACGCACCATGCCATAAGAGACGAGACATCTACAGCGCTTATGCTCGCTGACATTGTCCGCATATACAACTATCAAGAGCCCGCGCAGCATATTCCGTTCAACAACTTCGTCGCCTTTTGCCACAGCATCGCGGACCACGAGGCGCGAGCCTTCTGGGCTGACCGACTCAGGGGTGAGAGCGCCATCTTCCCTACGCCGACAGCAAGTGCGGCTCCAGTTACGGAGCCCTTCCAGAGACAGCGGGATGATTTATTCGTTCCTGGGAACATATCACGCGCCCAACTTCCCGCATATATTGAGGTCGCCTGGGCGTTGACGGCAACCGCCTATACCAATGCTCGCGCCGTCTCGTTCGGATTGGTCTTCTCGGGCCGGACGCCGGCCTTCGCGTCTACGATCGGCCCCACCGCTGCCGTTGTGCCTGTCCGCGTCGAGGTAGATCCTTCAACGACCATCCACGCGTTACTCAAGCAAAGAATGGCCGCAAGGCGTTGTCTTCTGAATCATCCGGCGCTCCAGTATGGACTGGCAAACATCCGCCGTGTCAGTCGTGACGCCGGGGTTGCCGCCGGTTTTCAGACCCAGCTGAACATCATCCCGCAAGCCCGAGTTACATCTGACACGGGTGCGAGCGGGCTGCTGCGGATGGAAGAGGCCTATGAGGTCGACGCGCAGTTCATCTTGTCTCTAAACTGCTTCCTTCATGATGCTAAAGTTGCCATCGAGGCCGACTTCAACCCGGTTGCGTTACAGACTGCTCAGATGCAAAGGATCCTCAGGCAATTTACGTACACGTTGTCCTGGCTGCTAAGTAACCCAATGGAGACCATGGTTGAGAGTCTTTTGCCGCTGAATCCGCATGATTTGTCGGAAATTATGGTCTGGAATCAAGACGTACCTGAGGCCGTGAACGAGTGTATACATAAGCTTTTCGAGACTCGAGCTCGGCAACAGCCATCTGCACCGGCTGTGATAGCCCCTGACGGAACCGCCACATACGGTGAGCTAGACGACATGTCGACAAGATTGGCCCTTCATCTCCGTGTTCACGGCGTCGGACCAGAAATAAAGGTTCCTCTGCTTTTTGGAAAGACAATTTGGGCCGTCGTTTCGTTCCTAGCCGTGATGAAAGCCGGGGGCGCTTGCGTTCCGTTGGACCCGTCTCACCCAAGCCAGCGTATTATGGACATCATCAACAGATGCCGAAGCTGCCTGGTGTTGACGTCTAGCAGCACGGCGTGGGCAATCAACGACATGCCTCAACCACTTAAACATTTCACCGTCAGCTCGGAATTGATCGCGGCTCTTCCAAGCAATGGGACGTCTCTCCCAAAGGAGAAAGAAGCTTCACTGTCGAATGCAGTTTATGTCCTCTTCACGAGCGGGAGTACCGGGGTTCCGAAGGGCGTCGTCCTGGAGCACCGCAATCTGGCTTCCACTCTCACACACTACGGCCGGCGCGTGGGATGGGAAGTCTGTGGAGGCCCTCGGATGCTCCAGTTCTCGTCTTTCGTTTGGGATACGCATACTCTCGAGGTCTTGGGGACGCTACTCTGGGGAGGATGTGTCTGTATGCCCTCCGAGGCTGAGCGGGCCGATCTCGGGTCCTTCATCCATGAGAAGGCAGTTGAATGGGTCATTCTCACGCCGACCGTCCTCAGAACTCTAGACGCACACTCGCCTCAGATGGCGACGGTAAAGACAATCGTGTCCTGTGGTGAGCGCGTCGACTTGACCACCGTGAACGATTGGGCTCCTTCGTGCCGTTTCGTTAACGAATACGGCCCTTCCGAGGTATCCGGACGCTGTATGCTGCAGGAGCTGACAGCATTTTCGCCCTTCCCTCAAAGTATTGGGAAGCCTGTAGACTGTGCGGCGTGGATCGTATCATTGGAAACCCCGACGAAATTGGCTCCCATTGGTACGTCAAAGGAGACGAATTTTGTCGACTACGTCAGTAGTGAATCAATCAAACCTTGAACGCTGACCGTCATCAAGGAACAATAGGCGAGATACTCGTAGAAGGGCCCGGCGTAGCTCGGGGATACCTCGACGACGAGGCGCTTACAGGAGCCTCCTTTGTCCCTCGGCCATCGTGGCTTCCCCCAAGTCGAGAATCTCGGTATTACCGCACCGGAGATACAGCGAAGTACAACGCAGATGGAAGTATGACCTTCACCGGTAGGCGAGATGGACAAGTGAAGATCCGAGGCCAGCGATTCGAGCTCGGCGAGGTGGAACGAGCTCTCGTTCGTGTCTCTGGCGTCCGTGAAGCCGTCGTCTGCATTCAGCCGCGGCATGACGACGGTAACATGCTCACCGCCGTAGTATCTTTAGCCGATGCACAGCTTCAGGATACAGCAAAACATCTTCAGGGTTCGGCCAAACAAGCGATAAGACAGGTGTCTCTGCCAACAGGCTACAACTTATCCAAGCGCCTCAGAAGCATTAGGGACCATGTATCAGAGTTATTGCCCTCCTATATGGTCCCCACGGCCTGGTTGGTGGTACAAGATACAATGCCCGTGGTTACTTCAGGTAAACTGGATCGTCCCTCGGTTATCGCTTGGGTACAGTCGCAAGACATGGACGCGGCACGAGGTGCCCTCCAACCCTCCGCTGCGAGCGCGTTAAGTGCGCCAATATCTAACGACGAGAAAACGATGCGGTCGGTGTGGGCTTCGGTACTGAATGTTCACGAGCAGAAAATCGGACGCGAGAGCAACTTCATGTTGCTTGGGGGAGACAGCATCGCCGCCATGCGAGCGGCAGGCATGTGTCGTAGGCGTGGCTTGGTCGTGCCTTTGCAGGCTCTGATGCAGAGCTTAAGTCTCGCTGAGGTGGTGTCTCAATGCGAAGAGGTCACAACGTCTTCATCCACCCTGCCTCCTACACAGCCTTACGAGATTCCAGTGGTTTCAGACTTCCCAGTTGAGGGATTTGCTGCGATTGACATTGAAGCTGTTGCCGAAGCAACAGACGCGCAGGCATCCATGGTCGCGCTGGGTGAGCTAGATCGACACGCCTTGGTCTTGAAGACTGGCCTCATCTTTGAGCCGCCTGCAGACGTGGCTCGGATCAAATTTGCTTGCGCCCAGGTTTTACAAACCCACGAGATTCTACGAACGGTATTCACTCAAAAGGGTCCGAGACTGTACCAAATTGTCTTGAGGCGCCCAGTAGACTCTCAAATACTGCCAGACGAAGGGCCTCACTCTCAACGCAATGATATCCTACCACAATTCTACGTGGCCTCCGATGGACAACACTGCCATCGACTTCGCCTCGAGATCCACCACGCGTTATACGACGCCGTCTCCCTTGGAATGATGTGGAACGATATCGCCGCTGCGTACGCCGGGCGAAAGCTCTCTCGCGAGACGTCATTTCTAGATTGGGCACGCCGGCTCACCCAGCTGGATCACTTGGAAGCGAAAAGCTTCTGGCGGGCGACTCTGAAAGGATCTCAGCTAACCTACCTCGTGCCACCGCGGCAGACGCCTGGGACCCTGAAGCAAGTTGAGCTCCGTGTCCCGCTCCCAAGTCTTACAGTTCCCGGCCTGACGACAGCAAACCTCTTCAAAGCCGCCTGGGCCCTGGTCATGGGCCGCGAGGCAGGCACGCAAGACGTCGTCTTCGCCGAAGTCCTTGCCAACCGTTACAACCCATCTTTATCGGCCGGTGTAAACCAGGAAACCGTTCGCGGCCCGTGCATGAACACCAACCCCGTAAGAGCTCACTTTGAGCCAAACATGACATTTGTCGCGCTGGCTACGCAGTTACAAGAACAGTCCCTGGCCGCCGCCTCGTTCGCCTATCTCGGTTACCGGACAATCCAGAAGGACTGTACAGACTGGCCGTTGAACAGCCTGTTTGGATCAGTTGTGAATTTCCAAAGTCCTGCGGTCTTGAGAGATGAGGAGCTTGACCTAGGAGACTCAATCACAGCTCGCATGATGCCTCCTGCTGCTAGTCCTCCGTCACGATCTTCCGCCCTGTGGACGATTGTGCGTCCAACTGACGAAGAGCTTGTTGTAGGCTTCAACTTTTCAAGCGCGGCTTTCGATGAGGAGAAAGTGAAGGGCTTTGCTGGACAGGTTGAGGACTTGCTGAAAAGCAAACCCAGTGACATCAGTCCGTGGATATCCAAGGCATCTCATGCATTCAGGGGTCAGGCTTCTAAAAGTCTATCGCTGGCAGCTTCCTCTGATGAACAAGCTTATGTGAGTCAGGAATTCACAGACGAGACTCCCGAGGAGGTACGTCTTGTGGTGCTGGAAGTGTGGAAAGCCATTGGTTTGCAAATCAAGGATGATCATGCGCCCATTTTTGAATGTGGGGGAGATACCGTTACTGCTCTGTTGTTGTCCAGACAATACCGCAGACAGGGCTATGACCTCACCATTGGAGCCGTGTTAGCAAACTCGTCACGACAAGCACAGGCAAATTTGCTTTTTCGCTCCGGAATGTCACAGTTGTCCGGCTAAGAAGATGCCACCCTTAGAGTCTGTATGCTATGCGATCTTCGATCTTGTTAGCCTAAACCACTATACCTCCAAGCTTCCCTGTGAAGTCTCTTAAGCCCGCAGAATGAACAATATTCACGGCTCAGTCTTCCTTTCATAGAACATGTTTGGTGATCGTGTGGTATTTTCTACATGCTACGCTACGAAGATGTTACAAAGTACAAGGGTATCCCTGCAGAATTTTGGCATCCGTCGCTCACAGAGTACAGTCGAATCCTGAAGGTGTGACAGACTCAGAGCCTTTTTGACTAGCACAGCAGCTCGCGAATGCATCGAAACTCGCAGCATTGCAGAGGTTGCCTGACAACTTGTCCCCCGTACCTTTACAGCATCTTTTGCCAGCCTCGATGTCATTTTCCCTGCCATTCTGCGTAGTCGCGAGACAGGTGCAGAGGCCAGCAACAATACTTGCACCTTGCAAGAGCGGGAGGCCGACAGATGCATGAAACTTCATTTTGAGCAGTATGGTGATATATGCCCGCTTGCTGTGTTGATTCCGTCTTAGTCGAGGAACATTTTGATCGGCGTAGCTGAAACATACCTTAGTAGGATGTCAAACGCCTTGATGGGATGAAGAGCAAACGTCGAAGTAATTACACGATTGATGGCTGAGCTTTTGGCAGGAATATCTCGATGATGAAGATGCTGCAGTCACCATTAATTGCGGCATAGGCTTCCTCTTATAAAAGAATCTTCTTGCTGTCACTGGAATACAAGAGTGCTTGACTCGGTTGCAGTAACAAGGCCGGTGGGAGTTGCGTTAAGAGCCCCATTCTATCCAAGTGAAGCCGAATGCACTTACCTGACAAGGCGCTTTACGGCCGGCCTCATCCGAGGCATTGTTGTCACGTTGGGCGTACCTTGTTGGTACTGCTTGGGAAAGTCCGAGTTAACAGTAAGGCTGATGGATTCGGAATGCGGAAGTCATGTTAGAGCATTGAAAGCTTAATCTAGGTTCATCTAAATTTAGGCTACAACCTCGGGGTCGATACATGTGTCAGACTAAGGTGAGACGAACCCCCGGGTTTACCTCTTAAGTGGCCGGCCTCGCCGCATTTTGATACAAGTGGGACTGCGCCAATTCTGCGAATCAGCTGACAATCCAAGGGACAGTTTGTTTTCCCTGAATGACTTTATTCGGTCGGCCTAAGTAGGAGCAACCTCGTGATCGTTTGTATTCTGTCAAGCATCAGGCTTCCGGGTAAGATGGCGCACAGTAGCACATCTTCCACAGTGAGCATTGTGAACCAAATCTTCTAATTCCGAGGCCCTGGGAATATCCATATCGCTGATTTTAGCAACCCGCCTAAAGACACATTTCAAATTATTACGAAATTACATGTGTTTGCAGGTTTAAATTGGTGTCCGAATCTTGCCTCTTCCGGGTTGTCACACTTCATGCCCAGTCTCAAGTACGTCTTCATACTTAAGTAGTTCTTTTCATCCTCAGATGTCGAAAAGACGCTGTTCAAACCGCAAGACACAGTTTTGCAGTCAGTCAACGACTCAACGTCCCTTCTCGCGTGAGTTCTTTCAGTTGCTGTGGTCCATAAGTTGGTCTTATCAAATCATCAGCAAACCTCACCTTAATCATCCCAATAAGACGATATACTTAATTCATTCTATCAAAAGCGTACACAGAAGGATACATGCTGTAAGCTTCCTTCTTCCGCGACCCCGACGTAATCTTTCAACCTCAGATCCCCAAAGGCTGATGGTAGTCGTTGTACCTCGGTACGTCAATGCCTTTGATAGCGGAGAGCTTTGCGATGCTCTTCGCAAAGTAATGTTCTCCCAGGCCCCAGCTGTCGATGCGCCTCCGAGTTTCGCTCAGATCATTGAGCGCATTCCCGGCCCAGTCAACTGTATCCATGCGACGAGTCCTCCGCCGTGTCATCAAAAGTTGCTGATCTCCTCTCCTCGCCCTGTCATTCATCAAAAACTGAGACTTGTTCCGAATTCCCTTGGGTTTCAACGCCTCTCGCAGCTCATCCTGAGAGGTCCCCATGTCGTCTGTCGTTGGGCTTAAAATGAATGCCACATCGTTGCAATCGTTGTCAGTGCAGTCTTCCAGGCGAGACTCGATGATTTCCAATAACGCGTTGTCCATGGCTTGGAACGGCTCATCAGTGTCTCCGTAGCCGCACGTCTTTGCGCCATAATCCACGTCGCCGTAGGAATGTTCTCCAATGTCGAGAATTAGGTTGAAAGCTAAGGGAAGCGACTCGTCCTTTAAATTCTGTGCCATAGGCAGAAAGCGGGAAAACCCGGCAGAGAACTCGTCGGCTGTCTATTTTCGGGAGTTAGGCTTGGTCGTGATGAAGACAAAGAACAGAGCAAGACCCACCCAAGAGCCATTCGGCTTGTACTTCTTCAGGAACTGCGCATAAGTCTTATCGATTGACTTGATAGCTTCATCATAAGTTCTATTTGGTGACTTTGCTTTCGCCTTCTGAGCAGCAGGCTTTTTGGCCGCAGAAGCCTTTGCGGTAGTTTTAGGTTTGGTGGATGCAGACTTCGCGACCTTTCTCGGGGGTGTCTGCGACTCATCGGACGATGAGTCCGAGTGGGATCGTTTCAAATAGTTGCGTATATCCATCGCGGGCACCAAGATGTCCTGCAGAGGTGATACAACAATTCAGGGTGCAGACTGGCTTGTTCTTGTATATCAGATAAAGCGGACAGAGGGCACTAGTTGTAGCTTCTGGCGGTGGGTATTTGAAGGGAGGGACGTGTCGCGCCTTTCGCGTCGCGTCCCATTTGGCAGGGATCATGGATGATCACCACGATACGGCCCTCCCTCCGCGCCTCAGGGTCTAGCCATTTCTTTTGCTTTTGGAAAGCATGCCGAGGTTTATTTATTGGTTTCGTTTCATCTCTGAATGAGTCTGGCCCGTAATGAGCGACGGGTGATCTGTGACACCCCTAATAAAGGGCCCTCAGATTGCGTTGTATTGGACCTCAATACGTTGACCGGTATGCAACGGTGATATTTCCCGTAGTGAGAAGAAAAGCACTTTCAGACCATTATTTCTCAAATCGCAGATATCAAACCAAGATTCTAGACCTCAAGATTAGACATGTTCGCCTCAAAGCCATATCCTCGAGGAAACAAGCGTCCCACCAAAATTTAATTGTGTGTTGCCCCGCTAATCAACCACTTACTACTTTCTTCTTCACGCAGACGACGTGGTTGATGGCGCACGACGCATAAAACGTGGCCAGACGTCTTTCTACTGCTGATCACAATTTATTTCTTCTGAGCGCTAACAACAGCGTTGAAGCTCAGGCGCAGCATGATTATCAACACTCTGGAAATAGAAGCATGCACTAAATTAAAGTCCTGAGACTATAAACAAGAGCGACCTACAGCTCCAGAAACACATTCTTCCATGATCACCCAGGCTGGCTACACTATTAGTGTTGATCTAAAGCGACCTTGAGAATTACTCCAACACGCACCAGATCGTATTGCTCTCCCAATTTGCTAACTATTCACATCGTCACCAGCCTAGTGTTGCTGTGACGACTTTAATATATACAACATCCATGGCATAACCTGCCTCATATTATACACTATACTGACGGGAGCTTATCCGGCAGCGAACCTTTTGGCTGTCGACCAATGTCCAGTTGCCCTTGACACTAGAGCGCTGATAAGCCAGCTCTTGCAAGGAGCCTTTGTCGAATTTGAGGACAAACGTTCCATCTCTTCCTCTGACAGGCTCAATAGAGGAAGCTTCTATTGTTTCCGGTTGGGCAACGACTCTGTTCGAGCCTTCGGTCAAGTCAAAAGGAGCTCCAGTCTTCGAAATAACACGTACTTCGAATTGTGAATCGAAGTTTCTGCCCCGGGGACACCCTATTTCAAGTTGAATCGGGTACGTGTTCATAGGGAGTGGCTGATCCAATGACGTCAGGTTCATTGTTATCGCATTATCGGAACCAAAGTAGATCGAAGAGTCGTCGAGGCTCATTCGGGTGGTGTATATTGATCGATCGCGCGTTGTATCATTGCGCGCATGATGCACGTAGAATAGCTCGGCTCCCTCAGGGGTTGTTTGAGTGACCTCCTGAGCACCAACTCTGCTCCTTGTGTTCTTGGGGGGCGATGCCACAATGCTTCCGTGGCCAGTAGAGTATATGGGGATCTCAGCATCCGGAGCCTGTGATAGAACGGGGTTCTTGGCAGATTTTCGGAAGGGGCCCAATGGAGTCTCGGCCGTTGCGAATCCGACGCCATAGTTTGAGGCTTCGTAGTTGTTTGCGCTGTATGTGAGAAGGTAGGTTGGTTTGCCATCTTTTCCCGTGCGCCTGATAACTGTACTGCCCTCTGACCACCTTCGGTCCTTCTTCGTGCCGTTGTTCTTCTCGTAATCGTCGACATGAAAGTTCTCCCATTGTTGAGGGTCGGCTCCATACGAAATGACCGTTTTCCATCCATCTTTGCGCGGGGGGTTCCCAATCTCGCCAGTCCCATTATATGAAGTGATATTGCTCGGCAAGTCCGGCGCATTGCGGGCGTGGACATCAACCTCTGACGACGCAATATCTGGCATGGTTCGCGCAAATGGATCGTCCCACCAGGCTCGGTCCATCTCGACGACGATGATATTCGACTCCTCGATGTACTTGCCGAGAGTTTCATCCCAATTCCAATTACGGTACGCGTTTCGAGAGGTGTACAGGTAAATACGGCCGTCCTTGTCAAAAAAGATGTTTGGGTCAATCGTAGGTATGTAAGTACCCTTTAGAGCTTGCTTGCCCTCCTCTTGGGTCTTTGGTGGCAGCATTTGTTTGTCGTCCATGATGAGATTGACGTCATGGTAATCGGGGTCGAATGGATAGTAACCAATGGGCTCCGACTGAATCTCTTTGAATGGACCTGTAGGAGATCGCGAAACGGCCACTCCCAATTTCGATGGTTCCTCAAATTTTGAGTAGCGGAAGTGGTCTTTCGCCATATCTTCGCGCAGACGCCCTGCGAAGAAAAAGAAGTACCATCCCGTCTTTGCGTTGTAGTATGTTTCAGGAGCCCATTGCCAATCGCGGGCCCAGCAAGCCTGACCACCATCGATCTGTTTCATCTGATCATCGTAACATGCCTTTAAGACGCCGCCTGGGTGTTTGCGCCAGGTCGAAAGGTCAGGGCTAACGTAAATTGCGAAGTGGTAACCATCGTCAGCACCCTCGGTTGAGTAGGCGTAATACTGCCCGCTCTCCCAATCATAGAGAACGTAGGGGTCTGCCGCGGCATGGCGGGCTGAGTTGTAGAACTCAGGATTTTGACCTTTGCCATTGTTTGAATCAGAATCTGCCCAAACCGACAACCCGAGAAACAATGCCCATGAAAGGGCAGAGAAGAGCCACATCGTGAGCGACGAAGGCGGGACAAAACAGACACCCGGAGCAAGCGCTTCAGAGAATTGGACCAACAGTACAGGAGGATGTCGACATGACTGTCCGTCTTATACCACGTTCCATCAGCACTCTCTTCCCCTCTTTCCTAATGCGAGGTATTCCTGGGGGCCCGAGCAGCGTGATCCTTCATCTCATCATCCTATTGAACCCCTGGTCTGTTGTGCAAACAAGGTCCGGGCCTACAAGAGACCCACAATTTCCCCTCACAGATCCGACCTCTTGAACCGGTCAACCTGGCAAAGTGCGTCATTAACGACTCCGAGTATTGAGACTTTTGATTGCAGTTCATTTCTGGGGGTGTAATGCAGTGGGGCTTGTACTGAAGACTTTGTTAACGTTTGGTTTGCGGAGCTCGCTACCTGCAGCTGTTAGCCGGGATTTAGTTGGATGCCGAAGCTTGATTTGTGCGCATGAAAAGCAAAGTCAGATCTGGTCCGAACTTCGCGAAGCTGGCAGGTAACATAGTCAAGGGTCCTAACTTACCTAGGATGTAAAAGCTTAGTAGCCGTCCCCGCGAGTACAGCTAATCTACAGCTAAGCCCAAGTGTGATTAAGAGCCATTAGGGCGAACGCAAGACCAAACTGTTGAAGAGTCTAGAGAGCAGGGTCTTTGGCAAAGGTAGAACGATCCCGGTATTCGCCTTGAAGTCTCTCGAGATGTTTTGCTCGCAGTCTTCGATTCAAAGGGGGAGGCCTTCTTGGTCTGTTCACTCAAAAGGTATTTCTAGCTCAAATTTCAACTTCGTATACAACTTAGTGTTGGCGGCTCATGCAAAGCACCAGTCCTCAATCGCACCAAGTTGCGGGTTTCTTGAAACATGACAAAGTTCCATGGTATCAGAATTGACGTAGAAACCATGAATCAGTAGCCTTGGCAGCGTTGAAATATATCTCCGGAGCAACAGACAGGTCGAGTTGATTGCACGATAGGTGTCAAAGTGTGCCATGAACATGGTGAGTCAAGTTGGTGGATTGGGTTGCAAAAGATTGAACCACTTTTTTTCGTAAGCTTAAGCTACATGGTCTTGTATAATGGGCTGGCATTTGAGCTGGCATCTGGGCTCAGGCTGCTCGGGAAGTGTTCGGCGTCAGTCACGGCGAACCCCAATCATGGGTAGCCTAAATACATCATAATCATTCGTGGTTACTTTCACGGTAGCAGAAGTATGTGACACAAGAGGTCAATGATATTTCTCCACCACACCACATATTGCCCCTCGCAGACGGTCCCAAGAACGACTCTATCCTTTTACAGCTCGTAGCTTGGAATTTCCACCGTACTATTCGACTTCAATGCGTCCTTGATCGCTTGGCAAACAATCAAAGCAGCCAGACCAGCTTGCGGGGAGCAACTGGGGGGCTCTTCACCGCGAATGACCCGACAAAAGTGGGCCAACTGCAGCTCAAATGGAACACCGTCAATAACAGGAACATCCTGCTTCTTGAGCTTGGAGTGCCATGACTTTTGGGTGCCTTCGTACGACCACAAAGACATGTTCGGCACGCTTAGAGAGCTCTGGGATCCGAAAACGTGGTAGAAGTTTTGGCCCGTCTTCGGAATCAGTGGGTTTTCGCCAGTCCCGGCTTCGAAGTTGTACGGTGACGGAACGTTGTCAGAGATGAGAAAAGTACCCACGACTCCGGACTTGAATCTCAAAGTGAGGGCACCTCCTTCCTCGGCTTCGTAGCCTCTCTCAGAGACAGCCATTTCTCCGTGAACTCGTATGATGGGTCCGAGGAGGTGATGGAGAAGATCGACTTCGTGAATCATGTTGATGAGAATGACGCCACCATCTTTGCCCTGCCTCCATGCAGTGGGACCTTCAAAGTAATCCCGCGGCTTGAATAGCGTCCAGAGTCCACTGATAGCAATGATCTTGCCCAGGGAGCCCGAATCAAGCGTCTTCTTAGCAGCAATGATGTATGGGTTGAATCGTCGATGGTGTCCGACAAGAGCCTTGACGCCTGTTGTGCGCAGATGTTCCAAAAGCTCAGTGCCACTTTGAATATCAGAGCTGATGGGCTTCTCGATGAGAGGATGCACTCCTTTGGAAGAAAGCTGCCTGGCGACAAGGGCATGAGTATGATTTGGGGTGCAAATAATAGCAGCCTGGGGAATATGAGAGCAGCTCAGGAGGTCATCGACGGTGGCATAATGAGGCACATTGAGCTCAGCGGCCAACTGTTTGCCGGCGGGCGCTGGGTCGACGACAGCGATCAGTTCGGCGTCGGGACTCTGTATGACTGTTTGGGCATGACGCGGCCCGATCAGTCCCACGCCGATGACGGCGAAAGGGATCTTGGGTGCTTGAGTGCTCATGACGAGATGAAGCTTTGGCGACGCGATGTTTGATTACCAGCGAGAAGAGGACGCCAAGACTTTTGCTGGTTGAAGGGTGGATGTTTGAGCTGGTGAAAACCAAAGCGAAGTTTGGTCAAAACAACGGTGTATTGAGTCGTGGGGCATTTCGGGAAGTGGTTGAGAATCCGGGGCCCCGCAAATCAAGACGCTTGACGCGGGGCATGATCCGGCAGTGTGTTTACCCGGGTGCGGTTGAGACCAAGGCCGCGCCGGGGAAGTTGGTGATGTTCCCGTCGGTGCTCCGAGCCGGAGGCTTCCATTTCAAGGGTGCATCGGCAGATGCGTGATAAGCGAGGACCCGGTGGAATCAGATTAGCCGCGACATGGCTGCTTGCTCCGGCTCTTGTCGTTAAGCCCCGGGAAGATTTGTCAAAATGAGGACAGAATGCCTTCGTCCTTGAGGTGCGACCATGAGGAAACCGAGCAAGACTTGATGGAATTACACTTCAAGGTGTTCAAGGGGCATCTTGCATGTCTTGGTTGCAGCCAATGAGGGCTCGTTCTCAGTGCTGTATGTAAGTGCAAGTTGGAGGTGTTCTCCCTCAATGGTGCAGACTGATTTCTTTCCAGCTGCACAACTCTTCTGCATAAGGTAGTATACGAATACCTATTGAGGACGAAGTTTAGTCATCGCAGCTTGACGTTGCTCCTATTGCCATCATGATCATCATCATCGCCATTATGTTTGCTATTGTCACGTTCACCGTCACATCGAAACAAACAAACAGATGATGCTTGCTTGCTTGCGCTCGCCATCATGCATTGCCAGTGGAGTTGCTAGAACCAGTTGGCCATCGCAAATGTGGCCGCCGTGATTGGCCAGTTGGGGCGAGATGGGCTGCATTCTTCGGTCGGGCCCGCGCGCAGTGGAGGACCGGTGCGGCTGTGATTGGCGGTGGACGGCACTGGTGGGTGCCCGTGGTAGCGCATTCCACTCACTGCAGTCACAACCTGACCTGCTGGAAGGAAGGCGGCGGTGACATCAAGCTGGGATGCTCCCTCCTTTGATCGACAACAAACCAAGCGCAAACACCAACGACCCTTTCCCTTCCCGCCTGTGTTTTTCTGTCGCAACTTCGCTTTTCGCCTACTTGACCTCACCTCCACCTCGTCTCCTCCTCTTCCGCCGGTCTGATCGTACAATCTTGCCCGTCGACACGCCCGCAACCACCACTTGCAACAGTCTTCGCGCCACCAACTAGCCCCGCGTCGATTCACCCCGCCTTGCGACGACAAGAAAACCCTTCTCTCAACACCTGCCCCTCCGTTTGCGCATTCCACCGGTCGTACACCATGTCCCCGACGAACACCAACGGCGAGGCCAATGGCGCCAACAGTGCCAACAGCACCTCGACCGCCAACGGCGCCGTAGACATCAAGAGTGAATCAGCAACCACAACCCCTCCTTGCCTTGTGGGCCTCTACTAACCTCCACTAGATCTTGGCCATGTCGAAACACCAAAGGTTGAGGGAACCTGGACGGTCGAAAAGGCTCTGAAGGCCTCGCCCGGTACCTCGGCACCTACGAACTCGGGCTCGCCGCTGGCATACTTCCACATGCTCGAGCGTCTCAAGACCACGAAGCGAGAGGGTTGGCGTCGATTCGGCATCGCGAGGTTCGCACCATCCCTCTGTGTCTCTGTATCTCTGTATCGTTTATTCCAAGCTGACCATCGTTTGTGCAGGGGAGAGTCCATCGCCGATCACATGTACCGCATGTCCCTCCTTTCCATGTGCTGCCCGCCGGCGCTTGCCCCCCGCATCGATCTCGCGCGCTGCATGAAAATGTGCCTCATCCACGACATGGCAGAGTCCCTGGTCGGTGACATCACACCCGTCGACGGCGTCCCCAAGCCCGAGAAGAACAGACGCGAGGCCGAGACGATGGACTACATCACCAAGAACCTGCTGGGCAACTTCAACGGTGGCTTGACTGGTATCGAGATCCGTGAGATCTGGCAGGAGTACGAGGACTCCAAGACGCTCAACAGCCACTTCGTGCACGACCTCGACAAGATGGAACTGCTCCTCCAAATGATGGAATACGAGAAGCGCGGCCAGGGCAAGCTCGACCTTGGAGAATTCGCCTACGTCGCCACCAAGTTCTCCCTGCCGGAGACCAAGGAGTGGGCGGATGAGCTGCTCAAGGAGCGGGAGCAGTTCTGGGGCGCCAAGGACCATGTCCACGGCGAGTCTGGCGTTGACGGGGGAGTCAAGGTCGATACGCGACAGCAGCAGGACGATTACTACAAGCGTGAATAAGCCGGCACTTGAGGCTTGCGGGTTGTGGCTTATGACAGCAGTGGGGGCAGCATGGAATTTAAATGACGGATGGATGGGATAGAATGATTCCCCCTTGGCGCTATTTTTTGGGCTGGACAGGAGAGGGTGGTTAACGGGTGACACGACTGCGATCACGTTGGGGGGATGGATGTCGTGCAACGTGAGTGGTATCCGTAGTCGTGGTCGCTTTCGCTCACGCATCATGATGATCATACTTGCATTGCATGGTTCGCGTCGGGATCGGGGACGGGAACAGGCGCTTTGAGGGGATATCCATAGACGAAGGCAGAAATCATCAATGGCCATGAGAGCAGCTCAACATCAAAAGCTGGAGCACTATCCGTAAGTATGCATGACAACAGGGAGCAGCTGGCAAGCTGGCCCTCCAGGTCTGGCCAAACTGGCGAGATTGGGGAGGCGGTGTGGTTGTTTGTGCCCCTCTATTTACACGCTACGGAGGGCCATTGCGCATGGGCCCCGGGCGAGTACCCCAGCAACCGAGACACGCCTTGCCTGATGTGGACGGGCGTTTCCACTGCCCCCTCCGCTCGGGGCACTGAATTTAGGAGGCGCCGGAAGACCCTGAACGGCCGGGCCTGCGATGGGATAGAAGAGAATAAAAATAAAAATAAAAATTGTTGACATTGACTGACGGACTGCCGGTGCGATGCTGACAGTGTCAAGGTGATGCCACGGCCCACGGGTGGTGCGGAAAGGCAAATACAGTGGGTTCATTCTACTTTACGGGGGTTTGCGAATGACACGACGGGGGGACGCGACTTTCCCTGAGGTTTCCTTTTCTTCCCCTGGCGCGTGCAGCTGGGTCTTCTTGAAGGAGAATCTCGACATGCGTCTTTTCAACCTTGCCGGCCACCGACCTCCGACCTCCCATTTTTAGAGTTGCGCGGAAATCCGACGAACTCTGTTCTGTCCTTGAACTTCCTCCCCTCTTCACTTCCCACCGGCGCAATTTGTTCTTTCTTTTCACTCACCAAATCTGTCTTTAGCAGCATCACCTTTTCCCCCCCTTGCGTTCCTGTTCCTGGCGCATAACGGACTCGACGTCACCCCAAAACGCCACGGCCACGCTGCTGCTCCGGAAAGAGAGAAAAAAAAAACGCTCCTCTTCCTCTTCCCGCGTGTTGATCACTTTGCGCATCATCGGCCGTTTGGCCAACCAGATTGCGACAGCGACACCGCTAACACCAACGGGGCCTCCCGGCACTGGGAAGCTTGGAAAAGTTGGAGCACAGGCAGCAGGACACACCACCACAACCAGGTCGAAGCTTGTTGGTTGCCGATAGCTGCTCCCTGCTACCTATCTGTCATAGCATACCTTACCCCAAATCCTACCTCGCGCAGTAATCATAATCGCCTATCCGTACGCCGCAGTTCTCCAACCCGCCTGTCAGCTACCCGACGGTAAATCCTGTCGTCACGCGCCTCGTCAACACCTCACGGAAATCCGTTCACCTCCGTCGCCTGTCACCCTCACCCTCTAGTCTGACAGCGCCTGTCCACGCCCATCACCGACTGCACGGCCTGTCGCACGACCAACGGCGAAGAACGTCCACCGCGAACAGTCACCCGGCACATCCACCTTGATCGATCATGACCTTCTCCCTCTGAGCTGGGCGACAGTGTGAATCACCATTCGAGTAACTCATCTACACGAAGGCCGAACTCTCCCTCGACCCTACTTTGTTGCAGAACCCTCGACACCTTCCTCCGACATCGAATCCCTGGTTTCCCTTGCTTCGCCAAACAGCGAGGTACTCCGTCTGAATATGGCGTTCGAGTATCGCATGCCCGGCACCTATTTCGACACGCAGCCCGGCGGCGTTCATCCCGGCGTCTTTCGCACACCCTCCTCTCCCTCCGCGAGCTCTTCGCTCTACCTCGCAAGGTCCTCCGGTAGCTATCAGTCAGAAGCTGCGACCCCTCACGCCCAGCGCATGCGAAAACGCCGAAACGATGTGTCTCGTGAAGCTACCCCCCTACACGAGTGGTGCGACGGAAACATGAACCTCGACAGCTCCGGCGATCTACCTCCAAAATACGACACTCCCCAGGCGAACCACGAAGCTCGTTATACTCTTGCCGGTCAGCTCGAGACCCCAGGCGTTGTTGCCAATCCTCCCTTCGAGAATGGTGCGCTGGACGAGAGCATGTACTCGGATGCCGATTACCGAAGCAAACTTGGATCAAAACGTCCCCACGAAGAAATAGAGTCCCCAGTATCCAACCAGCCAACGGTACTTGTTCAACCTCAACCTGTCGTCGAAGGCTGGAGTCGCTTTGCTTTCAATACTATTGGTGGCGTCGTTGGCAAGGTGTGGGAATTCTGCAGGACTGGCGCCTTTAGAGGCTTCTCTGCAGGAGGTGGCAAGGCTTACACCATCGACGGCCAGAGCCTGGAAACGTTACCAGAGCCCGAGGTGGAAGTTGAGCCCAAACCTGAACTTGGACAACAGCCTCAACCCCAACTGTCCGAGAAGACACCCGATTTCGGGCTAGAGAGCCCCAGACCGAGCGCCCCTTTGGTTGACACAACACCGCCAGGTGGCTATCCAACGCCTGGCTTCATGAGCACCAACCCCTTCGCGTACCAATTCCAAGAAACCCTTCCGTCCGAGAGTACACCGTCGCGTCCGGCGGTGAAGCGCAGACAAACCAGCGCCGGAAACCATGATGAGCTTCGCAACTGGGTTGTGGTGGATGAGCAGGCAGCGGCTAGCAGACGGGCACTTCCTCGGCCGGCCTCGCGTCCGGTCTCGCGGAACAGCCGGCCGTCAATGGTGACTGGGCGCAGAATCAGCGTCCCCAAGCCACGCCTCAGCTCCACACCGACGGCCCAGCGCAGGCCAACCACCAGTCACAGCAACATCTCGCACGCTGGAACTGCGGCGCTGTCACCCCAACAGCCTGCCAGCTTTGCCGGTGCCTGGTCGCCCGAGACACCCTCGCAGTTTACTGGTCCATCGCCGAGTCGGATTCCTCTGCCTGTCCAGCCCGCTGGATTGGGGCCCAATCCGTTCGCGAGACCGAGCAACCCAAACTTGCGCCAGAGCGCCATTCCTTCTCCTGTACAGTCCAGCACTAGCCCTTACACTCACTCGCATCGTCGCTCGCGTAGCAATGCATCAGCAGCACATTCACGACGTAAATCGAAAGATTTTGGCGTCGACTCAATCCGCGAGAGCCCTCGTCTTACTACCGAGGCCAAGAAATTGGCAGCTAGGAGGGTCAGGGACGAGCAGGATTCCGATGCACGGATTGACGATTTCAACCAAAGACTGAAAGAGATGATTCGCCAGGGCCGAGAAGCACTTGGCACCAAGATTGAGATTGATGGTGATGACGGTTGCTGGATGGATGATTAAGTTTGCTTTTGGGACTGGTTTTTGGGAGGCGTTTTGCTACACACATACTCACATCAGGCTTCGACTGACGGCGTGGAGTTCAGGAATGACATGACGCGTGATACCACCTACGGCATATTTGCGCCCTTGTTGGCAGGAGTTTTTCGCCTTTGCTTGGCCGTTTGAGAATCTCCCCAGGTTAGGGGAGCCAGAAACTTTCGATGTAATTGCTAGAGTAATGCAATACTCGTGGCTAGAAACAAATATCTTGATGACGACTTGTGCCCCAAAGATGCGCGGGAAATGACAACACCTACTCAACTATGTCCATTGGCCATCCTATCGCGATATTGCAACGTGTCATCTCAGCTTGCCGTATCCTTGACGCCGCATCCTGATATAATGACGTGATGCCTTCGGTCTTGCATTACTGCTGCAGCTTCCTATGCATGCTGGGTATCCTAAATTCAGCCTCTCCTACCAGCTAGGGTCTCTGTCCGAGAATATCTTTTCCTGGTCTGCACCGCAAGAATGGCACGTCTCTGCTCTCAACGTCTTCAGTTCCACCTTACACTCCGGCTTCTGGCAATGCTTGGTGCAAAACCAGCGCGGGCAACCTTCCACCACGCATTCCCTCCTGTCGGGGTCGTGAGAGATCGTCAAATGATCGCGACCGCAGCGACATTCCTTCAGATGACAGTCGCGCCCTGCATGGCCAAGGAGACCACACATGCAACACCGCGCCTTGCACATGATCGCATTCCGGTGATATTCACTCCCTGGCTCGTCCTTCTCAGTCTTTGGGCACTCTTTTGTGCAGAACACCTCGCATTTCTTGACAAGATGCCGTTGCGGGTAGGGGCGACATTTGCAGCGGTTGCGCGGTATGCTCTCGCAGTCGTAACAGGCGTGCCAGGACTGGCCGCAGTGGCCACAGGCATCCTGGCAATCCTGAGTCCAGTGATACGGAGAGCGGCAGTTCATACAAAGCTCCGGGAGTTCCAAGCGGGACAGTGGCAGTGTCGCATCAGAGCTGTCGGGGTGCGCGGGAATGCGGACCTGAATGCGTTCGACGTCTCCGCCGTCATACATCATAACTCTCTTAATCATGTTGGCCATATCGAGAGATATGCGAACCCACGTCTGTGAATTATCGTCATAAAATGACCTGAACATGTGTTAGTTGTGTGCGGGAACATGGGAGGGAATTTCGCAGTACGCCGCCATGATGCCGAAAGCGAGGAAGTATGAGTCGTCACAACTGAAGCGGGGTTCACCGCTCAACTAGGCTGCAGCCGTGAGAGACGGGTCTGGAACAACACAGAGGCTGATGAGGTTTTCGTGGCACTAGGGTTTTGAAAGGTTCAATCTGTTCGGTGTCCTCTCAGATTACTGGTTATGTGGTCATTGTGTGGATCGACGTTGTGTGGTGAAGGCCGCGTCGGGCAAGCTCGACTCGCGACTCACCGAGGCACACCGGTGGGCACGTGGAGTACAGTGTGACACTGTACACAACATATCAGGGGCTGGCGATATCATCCTACGAAGAGATTCTACTTTCCAATGTTATCAAACAACATCCTCCCTTTCTAGACACTGGCACTTTTGATTGCTTCGGGGACATGTAACAGGAGCTGTGCGGCACAACCCTGATATTGTCGTTGTCAACGATAATTCTATTATCGTGGCTGTCCAGTTGCTCGCACCGAAACAGCCAAGAAGGCTATGACAGATAATCCGCATCCTGGAAAGTTCAATTACTCCAATTTCTATCTTGAAACATCCCATGCTGTTCGCTGGTTCGAAATCTTACTACATGAGTTCCATGGTCGCCGTTAATTACGAAACATGCAAAACCTCCCTTTAAATATGACTATATGAGTGAAAACCCTTGCAATGATCCTTTCCCATGTATCCCAATGCCTCTACCAGCTGTTTAGTGTTCAAATCTGATGCTCTTGCAAGAACATGGCCCCAACAAACGCTAATGCAGAAGATATGAGTGAGAATCCATGGCTCCACCCCAACCCTTCAACGTACGCTTGCACCACGGCTTGTGCGATGTGGCTGTCAGTGCGGTCAATGAAATCGACATTCGAGGTTGCCTTCTGGATAATCTGCGAGTAAAAGGTCAGAAATTGACTTGCATCGTCTGAGGCGAGAAGTCAGTAGCCTACCGTCTTACGCACAAGCGCATCCAAACCCATCCCCTTCAACAGCTCCTCCAGCCTCCATCGCATAGTTTCCATCATGACAGCGCTAACGCTAGAAAGCCCGATAATCATGCCGATCTGGACGGTCAAGAATATGCCCGAGGTGATGGCGGCCTTGTGCTTCGGGTTGACTCCGGCTTGTGCGGCAATGAAACCAGCTGACTGCACCAGACCTGCGCCTAATCCTCCGGGCAAGATGTACAACGACTCCCAGACGTTGGTATCGCCATGCCATCGGAGAAGAAGAAGGACGTATGATAGTGATGACGCAAGTGTCGCAAGGACAAGAAGATACTTGTAGCGGCCAGTCCTTTGAAGGTCAGTAACAGAATGTTTCCGGGCGTGTGTCTAACTCACTTCTTGATCAGATACCCAGCCATGATACCGCCAATGGCATTACCGGCGACTGCAGGGAAGAGATGAAGTCCCGCAACGGTGTTCGACACTCTTTTTGTGACCTGAAAGTACAGAGGTACGGAGAACATGAGACCGAGTTGCGCAGCGACTTGAGCACCAGTGATGAAATAGGTGAGTACGACGTCACGATGCTTGAGAATCTCCAGCGGGAAAATGGGCTCCTTGGCCCACCATTGTTCTGTAGCTGCGAAAAGGCCACCAAGAACAATTGCAGCACCAAAGAAGATGAAGATGAGGGGATGATTCCATGGTACTTTAGTTCCACCGATCTCTATGGGGAGCAGGAACGCGAGGATAAAGAGAGCCAACAGCCCGGCACCCAGGAAGTCGATTCTTGCAAGAGGGCTCTTCTTTGGATCCTCGGGTTTTGAGTCTTCCGTTTCGACTTGATGTGCGGAGCTAGGCATTCCCTTCGGAAGGAAGAGCCAGCAAAGCACGACGGCGAGTAGAAAGATAGGAGCCTGCCCAAGGAATGACCAGCGCCAACCGATGGTATCTGCAAGCCACCCTCCGAGAGGACCACCGAGACTACGGCCAACTGTGGCGGCGAGGTTGAGGCCGGCTTGCCAGGCAGCAACATCGCGCAGAGGCACGAGATCTGTGATGGTTAGCGACGCGAATCTTCCCAACCCTCAGGAACAGCAAACCTGTAATCAGGAGCAAGCCAAGCACGTTCAACGACGAGCCGCCAGATCCAGAGACCACTCGGCCAACCACAACTTGCCACATGGTACCACCAACACCAACCACGGCACTGACGGTTTACTGTCAGCTTCATTCACGGGATTTTCTCCTGTTAGATCATCTTGGGTCTTACCATCCAACGGCAAACAACAAATATGCCACCATTAGCAAGGCACGGCGGCCATATATGTCACTCAGCTTGCCATACTAATCTTCTATTAGTCACACCTCGGCCACGGTCTCGGAAACACACCCACCAAAGTCTGTGTTGCCGCTCCTGCAAGCGCGAATGCTACAAATAGCCAACTCGAATTTTCAAGGTCGTCGAATTCTGAAGCAATCGTCGGATGCGTGGCCATAACCAAGGAGCCATCGGCGTTTGCGGTAAATGTCCCAACCAGCAGGATCGCTACGATCTTGATGACAGCCGATGCCGGCGTGCCCTGCGATTTCGTCTCGGTATCATTCTCGGCACAAGCGGGTGCGGTACGCTCAACGTCAACGTACGCCTCATCGACCTCTGTCGACGGTGTGAGATGCCATGGAAGGAATTGACCGTCCGAGTCTCCGCTCGACGATGAAGATGTCAAAGAGCTCTCACCTGACGAACTTGATTCTCTTCGATTTCGCGACAACAGTGGCGACCGCTCGTCGACTACTCTCTCTTCCGCAGTCTCTTCTCCTCTACTACGCAACGTCTCTTGGCGAGCCATGTTTGATGGATCACTCGTGTGTAGTAGGATTGTGGAGGTGAGAAAAGAGAGAAAGAGCCGCAAGCACCGGCGCGATTCGAAGAAAACCAAGGTGTCATCGGCTACGCAGGCTTCGACTCAGCTGGGATGAACCTTTTCAGAATTCCGGGGGACAGCGCATCTATGCAAACGTGCGACCCGCGACCGCTGAGATCCTCAGGGACCCCATGACGTCGGCCAATCAGACTTTCCACAAACTCCGATAACCTCCTTCCCAAGCTCCCGGTCCCGTTGACTCAATGTCCGTCAGAAGAATTTGAAGAATCATGCTTGGCCCAGGAAGAAAAGTTGCCGATAAGGGGATCCAGGCTGGGTCCTTGCTATGGCGACATATTGCGCCATTGCCGCCATGCAACTTCGGTCATCCTCGGCCCCCACACTACCGGGAAGCCGGCGGGGTCCGGTCATTCCCCGGCCGGCTCTACGCGGTTATTCGGTGCAGGAGGTCCACATTGAGTACTGCAGAAGAAGAGACTATTGTTGGTTCTACAATCTAGAATCCAAGGCTTGCAGCCGCATGCAGGGGCTACTCCATGGGTTGGTAGCAAAAGTCTTTCCAGGGGCAGCTTTCCCCTCCGTCGGCGGATCTCGCCCGTGCAACGGAAAATGTGGCTGCTTCTCATCGGACCCGGATCTCGGAAACATGTGTTTATATGACTCAGCGGTGCAGCTGACTTGCTGTTGAAACTCTGCCCATTGACGGCTGCCGTTGCGGTCCCGATGGCATCGGCCAACTTCGCGTCGCGAGGGAGGCAAACAGAAGCCATGGCCAACTTGATCGGATCACCGAGTCCGTTTTGTTTCCTGCCCCCGATTCTCTTTGCCTGACATGTGTGAATCAAACACTGACCAACACGGGAATGAAACGGGCGTGGGGTTGGTCAATGACGGGCGTGCGGGCTGCCCACGTTTCATTGAACCAGACTAGTAAGCCTCCCACATCTCCATAGCCAGA